AGCCGCCGGGGCTGTGTGTAACTGACACAGTGTCAGTTACACAGAGCCCCAGCCGCTGGAGGCTCTGTTTAAGAGCCGGGCTGCCCCAGAGCTACCGGCTTCGGGCAGCCCCGTGCCTGGAGACCCTGCGCCGCCGGAGCCCGGGACGGGAAGTGCCCGGCTGGGGGCGCAGGATCTGGAGGCACGGGGGCTGCCCAAAGCCGGTAGCTCTCGGGCAGCCCGGCTCTTAAACAGAGCCTCCAGCGGCTGGGGCTCTGTGTAACTGACACTGTATCAGTTACACACAGCCCCGGCGGCTGGAGGCTCCAGCCCCCGCGGCTCTATTTAAGAGCCGGGCTGCCCGAGCGCTACCGGCTTCGGGCAGCCCGGATCTTAAACAGAGCCGCCATTTTCCTGGACATGTTCCGCTTTTTGGCAATTCCCCCCGGACGGGGGTTTGACTGCCGAAAAGCCGGACATGTCCAGGAAAAAGAGGACGTATGGTAACCCTACCTGTGATGACCCAGCCCTATTCCCTGCCTCCATCTCTCAGAAAAACAGACTTTTCCTGTTACCAGAGGGCAGTTACTCCTGTTGCTGGAGTGGTAGCAGAGTGGTGAGGTACTGAAGATGCAGGGTCCAAAGCCTGCTGCTGATTCAGGATGGGAAAGTTGTTCCAGTTGCATGTAATAGAATTGTTTTATATATATTTTTAAAAATAGGACATTAAGAGAACAGGAAGGTTACAAAGCCAAGATCCCAAAACTTAGGAAATGCCAAATTTACAATTACCCACACAACTTAATTCCGCCCCCATTTGTGTTTGCATTATGATACGCTCTTTATTGCATAATAACCTACTATTTTTTCCTCAGGGCTGCTGCCTCATTCGGTGTGCAGGCCTCTTTTGTTCCCATGTCCATGATGGATCTCCAGACATTCAGGGTACAGGATGAACTCACAGTCAGGCTGAATTACAGTTGCATGGGCAACCATGAATGGGGCATTTCCCACTTTGACTTTGCAACCTAAATAAAGTTATTTTATAGGTAGTATAATCTGCCCCAACTGGCATGCAGCCATCTCTAAGTGGAAACGTAATGGCTGTTAAGCAGTGCACACAGGAATGCTACAGTAGCTGAGGGGAGGAAGTGAAGGAGGATTCCAGTTGAGCCTGACCTGCATTACCCTGTCCTATTTTAGGACTGAGGTACTCACAGGTACTGAGGTACTTCACCAATACCCCTCCCTCCCAGCCTGCAGCACCTGTGGCTACTAACTGAATATTGGACTCGTCCTCAGACAAAGACAAGGCAATAGCTCTACTGGAAATGTTGAGGCTGGAGGCCTGAGCATGAGTGTGATGCAGTTCAGAACCTTCAGCTCCATTAAGCATTTCATTTTCCCCTTCAGAAGGATCAGGGTGTAAGCTCTGCCCCCCAAACTGGCTGCTGCACAGGGACAAGTGCTACTGGGTGTCAAAAGAAAAAAATCCCTGGAACAAGAGCCGCGATGACTGTTCAAGGAGGAGCTCTCGGCTGCTGGTGATCCGGGACCAGGATGAGATGGTAAATAAAACTTGTCCTGGAGATATGTGCATAGACTCATAGACTTTAAGGTCAGAAGGGACCATTATGATCATCTGGTCTGACCCCCTGCATGCTGCAGGCCATAAAACCGTCCCTACCCCTTCCCTGGACTCTGCTGCTGAAGTCCCCAATCCTGTTATTAGTGACTTCAATCGGCAGAGACCCTCCTGCTAGAGATCCCTGCCCCATTTCTACCTCTTTGACTTTCATTTATCCCCCA